AAGATTGTTATTATGGATGTTGGATACCGGGGAGCTCTTAGCACAGGGTGCTATCTGCAACACAGTCACAATACATTACAGAAAGGAATGTCCATCAGGAGGTTAAATCCTGTATTCAGTACAACTGAAAACAACTTAACAAACTGTTCTAAATGCAGTCAATCATGAAACAAGTGGACAGATTTAAGATTGAATGCAGGATTACTCTTTTAAACTTTTATTTTTTGCAGTTAGCCCCACAGTATAAATGACTGTTTGATACACTAAAACAAGATCTCTCTCAACACTGTACCTCTGTTTGCCTTTGCAGTTCACAAAATTCTCTCCTCAGTATTCATTTTACAACTTCTAGGCAAAGGAAACTAGCTGCGCAGTCCTGTATTTTATTTTTTCAGTAGCATAATTTATGCAAAAGGTGTTTTATAGATGTTGTAAATGAATATATGAATAAATATATTGCGTAAATAAATGACAAGCAAATATCAAGCCACCATTCACGTGTGCTTTGTTTGTGTGCATCTTGATCTGTGAGTTACACTGTATGGCCAGTATAATGTGTGTACTTTTGTCATGTGGCTGTTTTTCCAATGAAGGGAATTTTTAATGTTACAGCAACAACAGTGTGCTGACAACTTGTGTCAACAGCTTAGCTGCGGCCCCTTTCGTGTTTCCACCTGACCGTGCTCCCCCTGCACAAAGCCAGCTCCGGAGAAATGGTTTCCCAGTTTGCTGTGGAAGAGCTTGACTGGCCTGCACTCAAAACCTTTGAGATGAACTGAAGCCGCCAACTGTGAGCCCAACCTCATCACCCAACATCATTGTTATCTCTCAATAATGGCAGGTTCTAACTTCTAGTGGAAGACTGAAAGCAGAAGAGTGGAGGCTGCTGTAGAAGCACATTAAAGAGTAAGTAAAGAGATGTAAACATGTATATGGGTATTTAGTGTTAATTGATTCAGGATAAAACTTTATTTTTTATTTTAATTTTCTGTTAAGAGACTCAACTCCAGATGCACCTAAATCTGGTCTTACCCAGGTGAGCTGATGATGAATCCCACTTAAAGTGGAGGCAAGTGACTGATTGTCATTAGTATTAGCATAGGTAGTGCCCCCCTATATAAGGGCAGGTTGTGTGGCCTGGCTAAGAATTGGAGCCACCAACAAAGGATAGACAGACACACAGAAAATATACATATAACACTTCAGGGGAATAAACAAATGAATTAAAATACCTCAATGAGGAATAAAATCCTTTAGCATAGTCCACATTTTTTACCATATGATTTTTACTCTTATTTTAAGATCTCATTAAAACAGTTTTCAGACTAGTATTTGCCTATAGTTGTATAGTTGTCCTGGTGTAGCTGCTGGAGCGGTTGTTTTTTGGCCAGAGCAGCTGGACCCGGTGTCAGCACCATATGGCTCTTTTCTGACTGCCGCTGTCTGTTCCATTTTCTTAATGCAAGGCCTCTTGAAAAACGTATCCAGAGAGCTTTGTTTTGATCTTTTGTTTTGAAGTCCATAGGCCTAACGCTAGCTAGCTTGCCATGATATGTCACTGACCACCAGTTTCTACTGGGATTTACATGTGGTCACTGGAATTGGTGGCAGGAAAGAGGTTTTGCCTTGTTTTTATCCCTTTTATGTCCTAAAATGCTAAAAAGATTTGTGTAAAATGTTGTTAATAACTATTAACTATCCTGGCCATTCAAATTAAAAATGATGACAATATATATGATGAGAAATTGATATTTAAGAAATATCTATAAGAAGAACAGCAGTGGAATAGTGGAATTAAAGTAAATTAAACTAAATGCAGTGTCAACAGACAAACACAGTATCAGTAGTATTGGAGGTGTGGGAGAATTTAACCTATCAGATTATTGCACAAATCTAAAAGCAACCACATTCACCATTCATACAAAAAGGGATCAGTGGATCAATTGTATTTCTTTAGCCCACCAATGTAATAATCCCATCTCTATAATTACTTCAACACATATATCTCATCTTATTATATGATATATTAAATAAAAAGACAATATATGACAACTAAACTAAATTGTTCTCGTACCTAAGAGAACAGAAAAAAAAGAAAACATTTGTTCATATATCGCTTCTTGCATGAGGCGTAATGTGTTACAAAAATGCATTGCGACCACCATCTACTGGCTGAAACTGGCTATTGCAGCTGATTTTGCTACTGCCTGATCTGAAGGAGGTGACATATGTGGTGGTGGCTTTTCTCACCAACCAACCCGTGCTCTCTTCCCCCTTTTATAAAGCCACTCACCACTCTTCCTGCTACGTAGGGGTAGCCTGACACTCCCCGACAAACACCAGAGAGTTAGCCTCTCTGATTCACTATCTTAGCTAACGTTACAACACAGAAACAGTCATGAATGTGCTTCTAGTGAC